GTTTGAAGAATCCACTAGATTATTTCAGACTTGCCCTCAGCTCACTTGTAGTCAGCTCCCCTGTAGAATCCACTCAGCTACACAGAACTGGGCTGGTCGTGACCCGCTGTTTTCGAATCTGAATTGCGCTGCTTTGTTGGCTGGAATCTCGGGTTTCTACTAGTTGCGCTTGCCTCTAGTTGGACGGGTTAGGCAGATTTCCCCAACATTTAACAACGCCTTAAACATCTGCCACATTTGTTAAGAATGGCCCATTCACTTTTGGGTCTACGTTGGGAAAAAAACAATTAATGTGCAAGAAATTGCACAAATAATGCGCAAGAATTGCAAATGCCATGAAGTCTGCAGCCTGTCTCTTAACTTCGGAATAAACATTTTAACTATTTTAACTGTAGAAAACGTCATTTGCATTCTATTGAAATATCTCACAGAGCTATACCATTTGATCAGCACATAAAATGAGTTGTTTTAGTATAAAAGAAGTTCCTCTCTTAAATAGCGCCTATGAGACAATTTAAGTTAATTTATGACGAAATAAAATTTCACAGGTAAGAAATTGACATGAAATTTTTCCAGCAAAATTGTTCACGAAAACTTTCCTTGCAAAGTTCCTCCATCGCGCCCCCTCAAAAAAATTATTTTACAAGATAACAATAATAGTGTTACGAATTTGGTATTTAAAAAAAGCTAATGTTAGTTCAATTATAAATTAAATGGTTTTATTTCTCGCGCAGTGCAGCGCGTGACGAATATTAAAAGAAAGCTAAGCCGGAAAAATTAAAATACAAGAGCGCGTGCGTTAAATAAATAATATCTCTTTTGATTTCGAGAAAGTACTGGAAAATTCTAGCGCGTGATTTTAAAATCTTATAAAAGGAGGAAAACATCTCAGTTTGTAGTAGTTGCTTAGTTTGTTGTTGTTTAAAAAACTGCCGTTTGTTGATTATAGCGAATTCGCGGATTAGCGTTCTTTAGCTGTTTTGAATTACGTTCTATTGTACATTTAAGTAGTTAAAAGATAACTATTGTGAGATATTGTGATACTGCATGATAATTTGAGAAAATTTAAGCATTTCTGTTGTGATAATAATAAATTTTTGTTCATTTTTCATCGGACTTGTGCATTCATTTCATAACGAACCCGTACGCACACAACAATTTTTGGTGTCAGAAGTGGGATGATCGCCGGTATCTATTCTATGTTGTGTCAAACTAGTTCGACCCACGTCAGAAGACGAGCGGGAGAAAACAACTTGAAGATCTTTAATGCGATCGGCAGCATCCTCTCTTTATCGTTAATTGCGCATTCTGCAATAACTCCGATGTAATCTCTCTGAGACGGATTCGGATGTTCTCTTTTTCAAGGTGGTTACGTACATCTGAACCCTCACTTTCTAATATTCTCCCTTCAGTTACCTTCAGTAAGTCCATGGGCATCTCCCATCGTCCTAGTCAGAAAGAAAGACGGCTCAACAAGATTTTGCGTCGACTATCGCCGGTTGAATGAGGTTACGAAGAAAGACAGTTACCCTCTTCCTAGAATTGACGACATTCTAGACACTCTTTCTGGAAGCAAGTGGTTCTCAACACTTGATTTAAAGAGTGGGTATTGGCAGGTAGAAATACAGCCTGAAGACCGAGAAAAGACGGCATTTACTACGGGACAAGGGCTTTGGCAATTCAAGGTGATGCCGTTTGGACTGTGTAATGCGCCGGCAACATTCGAACGTCTTATGGAAACTGTTTTGAAAGGCCTTTCCTACGAAGCCTGCCTGATATACCTGGACGACATCATCATCGTCGGAAAGAGTTTTGAAGAACATTTAGAAAATCTTAGGAAGGTGCTTCAGAAACTGAAAGAAGCCAATCTGAAGCTGAGTCCCGCTAAATGCAAATTGTTCCGAAAGGAAGTGACTTACCTGGGACATGTCATCTCTGCAGAAGGTGTGCGCACGGATCCTGAAAAGGTATCAGCCGTTAAATCCTGGAAACGTCCCGAAAATGTCCATCAGCTGAGAAGCTTCCTAGGGCTTTGCACCTACTATAGGAGATTCGTGAAGGACTTTTCTTCCATCGCAAGACCCCTTCACAAGCTGACAGAGAGCAACCAAAAGTTCTTGTGGACAAAAGAATGCGAGGATGCATTTAACAACTTAAAGGAGGCTTTAACATCTGCTCCAATCCTGACGTATCCTCAGCTTGACCGACCATTTATTCTCGACACCGACGCGAGCAATGAAAGTGTCGGTGCTGTTTTGTCCCAAGAAATAGACGGCCAAGAACGTGTAGTGGCGTACTGGAGCAAGTGCCTGTCTAAACCGGAGAGGAATTATTGTGTCACCAGGAAAGAGTTGCTCGCCATAGTCAAAGCTGTAGAACAGTTCCATCACTATCTATACGGCAGAAAATTCCTGCTCCGCACCGATCATGCATCATTGACCTGGCTTTTAAATTTCAAGAATCCTGAGGGTCAAATAGCCAGGTGGATACAGAGACTCCAAGAATATGACATCACTATCCGTCATCGTAAGGGATCATCACACGGAAACGCCGACGCCCTGTCTAGAAGACCTTGCCAAGAAAGCTGCCGATATTGTTCCAGGGTGGAAGCGAAATACGAGCTGCTGACTCCGGTCGCAAGACAAATTACAACATCAACATCGGCTGATCGAGAACCGTGGAGTGATGATGAAGTCAGGAAAGACCAGCTGGAAGACCGCGACATTAAACCCATAATTGATTTAATGGAGTCATCAAACAGAAAACCTACCTGGCAGGACATTTCTATCTGTAGTCCTACAACCAAACAATATTGGGCACTCTGGGATTCACTTCACATTCGAAACGGCGTCTTATACCGGAAATTCGAATCGGATGATGGGAAGACGTTCCGATGGCAACTTATACTTCCAAGATCCCGCATTCCTGATGTCCTTAAAGAACTACATAACACCCCTACTGGGAGGTCACTTTGGAATAATGAAGACCTTACAGAGAGTTCGTGAGCGCTTTTACTGGAATAATGCAAAGGATGACGTGCAAAAGTGGTGCCGATCTTGCGATGCCTGTGCAGGTCGGAAAGGACCGAGGAGACGCAGCCGAGGCAAGCTGCAACGTTACAACGTAGGGGCGCCTTTTGAACGTATCGCCTTTGACATCCTGGGACCTCTGCCACGAACTGCTGATGGCAACAAATACATACTCGTTGTCATTGATTACTTCACCAAGTGGCCTGAAGCTTATCCTATTCCTGATCAAGAGGCTGTCACAGTAGCTGAGGTAATGATACAGCACTGGATTTCCAGGTTCGGAGTGCCTCTTCAGTTACATTCCGATCAGGGAAGGAATTTTGCCTCGGCAGTAATCAAAGAACTATGCAAACTACTCGGCATTGACAAAACTCAAACGACGCCATTGCATCCCCAGTCGGACGGCATGGTAGAGAGGTTCAATCGAACCATCCTTAATAACCTCTCATTAGTGGTTTCCAGAAACCAACAGGACTGGGACAAGAAATTACCACTCTTTTTACTGGCTTACCGCAGTGCTGTCCACGAGACTACCGGCTATTCTCCATCACAGATGCTCTTCGGTCGTGACCTTCGTCTGCCTTGTGATCTATTGTTTGGCCGCCCTCCGGATGCTCCTTCATCGTCTGAGGAATATATTCAAGATCTCCAGGCCCGGTTTGAAGTGATGCACAACTTTGCACGAGAGCGAGTCAACTTGGCGACGGAGAAGATGAAGACCCGCTACGACACAAGAGCTACTGAACATCAGTTCCACGAAGGAGACAAGGTGTGGTTGTGGAATCCGACTCGACGGAAAGGACTTTGTCCGAAATTACAGTCACCTTGGGATGGCCCGTATACAGTCCTAAAAAGGCTGAATGAATGACGTCGTGGTTCGGATTCGTAAGTCTTCGAACTCTAAACCTAAAGTCGTTCATTACGACAGGTTAGCTCATTACTATGGCCATAGTACGTAATGTAAATAATTGTAAATAGTATCAGACCATGGTCCTTTTTGTTTATAAATGTGTATTTGATTTGATTTGTATTTGATATTTGATTTGCATTTAGTATTTGATTTGTATTTAGTATTTTTTTTGTATTTAGTATTTGATAGCATTTGATTTGTTTAAGTTAGTTATTGCATTTATTGTTTATATTGTTTGATATTGTAATGTAATGTTTATGCCTCAGTTGCATTTATGCCACAGTTGTAAGTTTAGCTTCCTGTCCAGGGATTGTACTGCCCGGGACGTGCAGTCCTTGGGAAGGGGGCAGTGTTACGAATTTGGTATTTAAAAAAAGCTAATGTTAGTTCAATTATAAATTAAATGGTTTTATTTCTCGCGCAGTGCAGCGCGTGACGAATATTAAAAGAAAGCTAAGCCGGAAAAAATTAAAAATACAAGAGCGCGTGCGTTTAAATAAATAAATATCTCTTTTTGATTTCGAGAAAGTACTGGAAAATTCTAGCGCGTGATTTTAAAATCTTATAAAAGGAGGAAAAAACATCTCAGTTTGTAGTAGTTGCTTAGTTTGTTGTTGTTTAGAAAACTGCTCGTTGTTGATTGTAGCGAATTCGCGGATTAGCGTTCTTTAGCTGTTTTGAATTACGTTCTATTGGACATTTGAGTAGTTAAAAGATAACTACTGTGAGATATTGTAATACTGCATGATAATTTGAGAAAATTTAAGCATTTTTGTTGTGATAATAATAAATTTTTGTTCATTTTTCATCGGACTTGTGCATTCATTTCATAACGAACCCGTACGCACACCAATATCTTATTTTAGATTCCAATATTGATAATAAAATTTTTTTTTTTTTTGCAAATCTGATATTTTATCTGAAAAAAATACTAATCAAAAACGTTTTGAGTGATTCTATAGACAGAAGTAGAGTAGCCAACTGAATATGTAATTTAAATACTTGAATGAATCATGTCATATAGTCATATGTCTACAGTAATAATTTCATATTTCTTATAGGACAACTGTCCACTCGTCCCTAATCCAAATCAAGAAGATAATGACGTCGATGGGCCAGACAGATTAGGAGATGTTTGCGATAACTGTCCTACTGTGCCGAATCCAGACCAGTTGGACTCTGATGGAGATGGTGTAGGTGACGCTTGTGATGATGACGGAGATGACGACGGTAACATCTTTTTTTATCTATTTTAGTATTCTTATTTTCCGAAAATTAATACCAGTAAAAAATTCAGGCAGGAAAATAATAAATTCAAATTATTGATTTTTGCAGCTGCTATTTTGCAGCCCTATTTGCAGCTGCACCTTTTCTTCCTCCTACAAGATACATTTCTAATGTATAAATATATATAGCTGTGAATCTAAGGAGAATGCTTTTGTCATTCGGAATATTTTCGGTAGGCTTTAAATAAATATATTTAATGTTTGTGCAACTTAATTATAGCTTGTTACTTTAAAATAGGAACTTCAAGGTTGTTTCTAGTCCCCTACCATTTGCTATCGTCATTCGTGTTGCCATTACCGTGCAATATTTATTTTCTTCATCTCATTTTAGACTGTAGTTCAGGTCAACTTTCATCCGTGCGCTTTTCATGAAGTGAAATGAGCTAAACGGAAAAGAATCGGGGGAAACAATTCAGCGACTTGATTTTATTTTTGCGGTAGCTCTTGTTCCCGTGGTTACTAATCAAACCGGAAAATAATCTTGAAGTTCCTGCTTTAAAGTCACAGACTATAGTCAGATGCGCAAGAAGCCATCTTTAGCTACTCCTCAAATTATAGCGAAATAATGTCTTGCTCTGCACTAGGAATTCCGACTGCAGTCGATAATTGTCCGCATATTGCCAATGGTGATCAACAGGATTCCGATGACGATGGTGTTGGTGATGCTTGTGACAACTGCCCTTCAGTTGCCAATCCCTCTCAGGTATGTTGGATATTCGAATATTTTAATTATAAACCTAGAATGAGATTTCCCCTTAAGGCTTCTTTCAGGCGATTGTTTGTAGTCATAAAGCTCGGCAGTTTAAGGCACAAAAGTCATTAACTTCATGCACACCTGTTTAACAGGATGTAAGCCGTAGCTAATCAGGCAAGAGAAAGTTACGCGAGTCTTAGATCAACTTGGCATAAAGTTGAAAAGTTAGAACTTTTAGACAAAATCGTTAAACCAGTTTTTGTGAGATAGCAAGATCTGGCTGCTTAACAACGAAGTTCGGCTTAAGCCTGTTGTGATTTTAAAACTACCGTGATAATGAAGATGAATGGGTAAAATCAGCTGGTGAATGAGGGAATTCATTATATTCATATTAAAAGTTAAAATAATCTCACTGTTTATTGCTGCTATATTTTGCTATCTAATTCATTCACTTTATCACACTATCTTTTATTCTGAAGAAGAGATTTTATTCAGAATTTTAACTGAAATCATATTATTCAGTTCCAATAATACAGAAAAAATATGTCATTTGAGTAAACCATTTTTAAGTTTTATTTCGAAAGAAAGGAAGAAAAAAAAGCTTCAAATAAGAAACAGGTTCAGTTCAGAGAATTTAAATATTCATGTCAAAAGTTTGTAATTATATAATGACTTTCACGCTCTTATAAGAACAGATTTAACAAAGCACGCGTATTTCAGATTTCAATATAAAAACTGATATATACAGAAAATTTCAGAAAGGTGTCAGAGAACGAAATTTGACATAAACGTTTACCTTCTAATCGATTCATTTATTACGTTAAAACGTATGGCTCTTAGATGGGTTTTTAAGAGATATTTAGTCACTCAAACATTTTAAAGCATCCTCTATATATTATCAACAATTTTAATTAGAAGTTTTTTACTTTTCCTTTGTGAATGAAATATAGAAGTTAAATGTAAACGCTTTTTTAAAATCTATTGTACATTATTTTAAGCATAGATTGCTTAATTAATGCTAAATTAATTTTCTTGCATTAAGTTCTTAGATTTCTAGCAGAAAACAAAGCGTTTCGAAACTCATTAATTTCTGTTTTCTTTTTCATATATTTTTTCCTCTTATGCTTATTCTCGCAGATATGAAGTATTTCTCTGTGTAAAGGAAACACTGTACATTACGAAGGGCAGAGAAGAGATACTTCTTTTCTAGTAGTTGCTCGATTAACAAAATTTATCTTACTTTATTCATGCCTCGAAAGCGCCAATTAAGCTGCGTCTTAGATTTATATTTGGCATTGCTCTAAGGTACAACATTTTGAAAGATATTCGGATTTTTATGAAATATCGTTTGTTTTTTTCTTTTCGTATTTCGATTCAAAATCTAAAATTTTGCTGAATCGAGAAGTTTAGTTGAGTAAACGTAACTAAGCTTTCTCGATATTTGATAGTATCGTTTTTTTGTAAACGAATTTTCTTGTTTTCTTTTTATATAATCTGTAATTTTGGTTTAGTCTGAACAACGTTCACACATTTAATCTGATTTGCTTAAAAGATTTAATTTAGAACAATTTTAATAAATTTTTAGGAAAAATAATTGATTTATAACCTGTAACAACTTTCCTTCATCTTAAAATAATATTTGTTAAGCATATTTAAAAAAATAGAATTTGTAATTAAATACTTTATATATATATATATAATGAAAAATTATCATAAAAATTCAATCCTTAAATTCACATTCATCGTGAAACAACAAGAAATAAAACATGGCAGTATAAAACTAGATCTAAAACCAAAAATAATAATATAACGCTGTAGAGTAAAATAATCGCTACATAGAATAAAAAGTAAAGTAGAGAGCAAATAGAAACAGAAAAGTATTAAAATCTAAAACGGTGTAATACATTTCTTGTAACACTTTTTCAATCGTTACATGCACTCGTCCTCTTGAAATTAATTTTTGCAAATGGGCTTCATTATAAACTTTACTAAATTTACAAAGCTTTCAAAGCGTTATTTAGTTAAGATTTGCATTACGTTATTCTTTATCAAATTTTTAAGAAAACGCATATATATATATATATATATATATATATATTTCTATTTAGGATATATATGTATATTTAAACATTAAAAATTGTTGGCTAAAAATTCTAATTTGGCAGAAGATTGAATGCAATAATAATGTCGAATCTAGATTTACTTGCGAAGAAATACGAGAGAAAACATGTACTGTATTATTATTCTTTTCTGTGACATCGTCTCCTTGTTTTGCTTGTTCGACTTCATTAAAGAAATTGGACGTTTTAATATATTAAATACGTTAAATTAAAAATAAACTGTCAGAAGCAATAACTTCGGAATGCGAATTCGGTCGAAAACGAGATCGCAGAAGGACTCCTTCGGCTACAACGTCAAGCTCTTTGCATATTCTTTAGGCTCATTATGCGCTTGTCCATGTCTTGAGTTTACATGCAGTCATAATCTTTTTACATTTCGGCTGCAACACAGTGTTGCCAGATCATGCGATATTTCGCAAACGTGCTACTTTTGCCAAACATGTGCGACTAAAATTGATGTTCATGCGATTTTGCGAAATTTTTGCTACTTCACCATTTCTTTAAGCTAATTTTTGCGATTCAAAAGTTTTCAAGTCGAGATAATTAGAATCTCATAAATTTAAATAAGTCATTCAAGTAGAATGGAATTTTCACTGAAAAGAATTAACAATTAAAATAAAGCAATGAATAATGAATTGGAAAAAAATAACGACCAGCTTAAAAAAATTAGTACAAAAACGCTAACAAGCCAAACTTGAGGAAGTATTTAACAATGGATAAGAGCAAATTAATTTTAAAATAAAAATATAAATTTATTTAGAATTCATTAAAAGTAATGATTAAAGAATGAATAATTAGTACTTTAGTTCTCAAATATTCGTCAGACCTATAATATACGTAATTAAAAGTACTAAGAATCGAATTACAGTCCGTAACTTACGAAATCAGACGTCAGAGATCATATGGACATACGTAACTATGACGTCACACAAATCATGTGATAGCTGACGTTATGTGCTACTTTTTTCAACTTTTCGATTCTTCTCCTGCTACTTTAATTGAAAACTTTCCGTCAACACTGCTGCAACAAGCAATAAATTTCACGAGATATTCATCACTATCTAAATTACCTCTTGATTTTAAATTATTCTGACTAACTATAGATTAATGCACTTTTCTCAGCAAATTAAAGGTAAGCTGAGCCAAGCTCAGACGATATGTATTTCTATCGAATCAATAGGATTTATTGAGCATAATCCCATCGCAAATCAAGAATTATCTGTACATTTTTCTTAACTAGAGTTTCTAAGAAAAGGAAATACTTGCTTTAAAAACAGTTCAGAATAAACAAATGGTATGTTTAACAAAAAAATAACAATTAGGAAAACCGTGTGCCGTACAGCTAATAAGACGAAAAAAGTGTATTCTTCTGATTTAAGATTTTCCTCCTTCAATAAAGGAGAGTAGAAAAAATAAGATAAAAATATCTAGAAGTATAGTCAATGAATGAAGTGAAACGAAGAAATGTTAGAGAAAATTTATTTTTAGTGCCTTGTTTTTATAATAGATAAACAGAGTACAAATGCTTACTCAGAAGATAATGCGCCACGAGCAATTTATTTCTTTTGTCATTTAAATTTCTTCGAGCTGAATAAAGCTTTGCAAACAGCTCTTGAATGGGCTTTAAATGTAATTGTTTGCATGTAAGTATCATATATTCTTGATATCTTTTTTTCTTATTAATAGGAAGAAATAAATGTATTTCCATTCTTTTCCAGTAAGTATACTTGAAAGAACTCGAGATAGGAGAAAATATGGGCTGAAGTATATGCATTTTTATCATTTAATGCTACGCATTATGAGATGATCAGAGACATTAAAAAATATTGTGATTTTTTTATATTCGTGGATATAAATTATTTCGAGGTAAAAGAACCATATATATATATATATACGTGTGGTGTGTGTGTGTGTGTAAGTTATAAAAAGTATTTTCCCTTTTGCAAATCTTTCATCAACATGTTTCTGTTTTGCAGAATGAGGAGCTGCTTTAATTCAAATTAAATATGATACTTAATCATTCCTTGCTGTGTGTTTTGTATTCGTATATTAACATCTGGCGCCATGAAATAACAAAACCAGATGAAGAAGGAAGTCTTGAAACGTTACTTAAGATTGAGACAAAGAGCAGCTTTCCGAAACAACAAAAATACCTGAAAATGGTTTAAGAATGCAAAAGTAGGTTGAAATTTTCTTAAACACGAAAGCAATGTCACAACTAACAAAACTGCTCAGAGATCAACATTTATAGCAGTAAGCATGAGCGGTAAGTTGAGTATCAGAGAAGTGTGCGATAGACTGGGAACTAAACTGACTGACGCTTCAATCACCTCTCACTTTTAATAAAGAACAATGGACAGAGGAAATTCTGCAGTCGTCTGAGAAACGTCTCCTGTAGCTTTGACAGCGCTCTTTTTAAAACCTTTCAGGGGTAATGCCCTCCAATAACCACCTACAGGATCTCAGCCCATTTTCCAGTTCTTCGGCTATGGTATAATTGAGAGGATTCAATGAAATCTGAATTTAGTTAAGGCTCTATTGCAGACTCTTGTACTGTTTAATTGCCTCTTTGTATCTACTGCTTTAGATTTTGATCGATTTTGCGATCTGCGAAATTCAATTTTCGGGTTTCAAATCACATTCTTGCGTCCAACATACTTAAATGAATTTCAAAAGATATTTTAAAACTGTTCTTCTTCCGTTGCTTAAGAACAAGTACTTTCATATTATATAAATAGTTTTAATGTAGTTCCAATGTTATGGTTTTGAATGACATTCTTGCTACCAACGTCATTAAATAAATCTCGAAAGATATCTAGAAATTCTTGCTGTAAATATCATGCAGTTCGCATTTGGTCCTCATTTAATTCTGAATTAGTAATTAAACCTTTCATTTCGCCTGAAAACTCTTAATAATGAAGGAAATTTCGCACGATGCTTGGGCTAGAAGGACATGAAGAAATTTTGTTCTTTCAGGAAACTAAAATGGCGTATTATTTACACTCATGG